GGAGCATAATTTCACACCATGACTGTATGTGTATCGATACACGCACACATGTCCACACATTCATTCTGTACATATACAAAGGTACACACACATTTTTACATTCTTTGGTGGCAAAATAATAATTAAAAAAAACCCCAAACCACAGGGTTGCACAGACTGTGCATCTTTGCTTAATGAATCTGCTTCAGGAAAGTTGGGGTTGCTGTAACAGGAGTTATTTTGCCTCTTTAAGGACTGTTCCTTGCATTGACAAAATGCCATACATTTACAATGACTAAAACAGGGCACAAGGAAAGCCAACGCCAACACAGCTCACATGACAGATAACTCAGAGAGAGCCCCTTCCTACCCACACCAACACACCATGAGAGAAGAAGCAGCCATATGCTTTCACCTACAAGCACACAAATGCTTCCTCAGTTACTGTCCAGATGTTGGGCTGAGCTGTGGCACACCCTTCTGCCCTGGCTGTGGGGTTTCGCTTTTGTTGCTTATTAAAATCAAACTAACAGAGGACAGGATGTTGGGAGCAGCAGAGGAGGCTGGCAGGTCAATGCCACACCAAAAGGTTGTCAGCCTGTGTGCTTCAGATGAATGGCTCTTCTCGTTGCCACCTCTGGATGTCAAACCTGCATCTCAGAGGTGCTGATGAGGCCCAGTGCTTTGGCTTCTTCTGGTGTCAGTCCGCTCTTTAGTGTCCTTCTTACTGGATGGTCATAAATTCCAAAAGCAGGCAAGGAAAAAAAAAAAACAAGAAAATGCAAACAATTAGAAGTGATAATTACACAAGACTTTCAGCTGAAAAAAACCCCTGTTAACATGCAAGCTGAATCAAATCAAAAGTTGCTATGTACTCAGGGCCTCAAGTTCAGAAATACTGAGTAGTCCCCTATGCCAAATCCGTGGGAGCATCAAGTACCCAGTAACTCCAAACAGTCAGGCAAAAAGACATTTATCATTTGACATTTAGTCAACAAAAACTTTTAAGGAAAAATACCACAGCATTTTAAGTTTTTTTTTTTTTTTCTCTAAAATTGTATCAGTTGATTTTCAGTCCAGAGAAAGTATCATCTACCCTATTATTTTATGGTTTCATAAAGATTTTTTAAAAGAGCTTTTGGATCTTTATAGGGCTCAATTTAATTTATCACTATTAAATCCTACGTGACCCTTTAAAGGCATAAGAAAAAACAACCCCAAAAGTTAAAAGATTAAAAATGTGTCTATTTTAGTCTATTCAAATCATTAAAAATACTGTCTTCATACATGCTCCCCTTTCTTCTATAATTTTTCCCCGTCCTAGCCCCATTTGTGTTACCTTTGCCATTAGTAGTCTGCAGCATTTTAGCTGAATTTAAATGATAAATCTAGGCCAAAGTCTTGTTTCTTAATTTTCTATGAAGTGTTCTGAACACTAGCCCTGACATAAAACTTTTAAAATTTGAGATTGCCTTTTTTATTCTGAAACAAGTGACTATGTGACTGTGCACGCTGAGCATTAGTGTCCTCCAAGTTTTACTGGTGTCACGATTTTCAAGTGGATGGGCTTTACTTCAAGGCACAAATGGGGTGTTCACTCCACACTTTGATGTTCCTCAAGTACACAACGCACATTCAGAAGTTTAAGCTGCATGCAAAGCATAAACAATGACTTCATGTTGAACAAAATATATTCAGAGCCCCAAAATAATGAGGTCTAGAGGAAACTTTTAAAGAAGCCAATTGCAGACCAATTGCAGGGACTTCTTGCATCACTATCATCTAGCACAATTAAGACTTCTAACTTATTGAGATGTTCAACCCGTGTAACTGAAACTGGGTGGTCACATTCCAGGGTCTAGCCAGAGTGAGAGGAGGGAATGGATCGGTATAGAAAACAAGGAGATAAGGGAGAGGGAAAATACGGCATAGCTGAACATCTGCTATCACACAGGTAGGACAAATGTGATCTATGTTTGATAGTCAAACTGCTTTCATCACTTACTGAGGTTAATCAAATGAGCTGAGAGTGCCACATCAGTAATTGTTCCTCCATTATCAAACCCTTACTTGAAAGTTTTCCTTCAAGGCTCACTCCTTTCTCCTACAGTATTTGCATACTTACTAAACACCACTAGGAGTCTGCATGGCAGCCTTTTATGATGGACACTTTTTCCTGCAATACTGAGCAGCAACATCTTCCAAGTTTAACAATGCTTAGCTTAAAGCAGTACAAGGTTAAATTCAGCTGATGATAAAGCTAAGATTAAGACAGACAACTGGAAGAGCAATACATGTCAAAAAATGCTCTGGTCTCCATGGTGTAGAATACCCAACATGGACTTTTGAGTCAGTCCTCATCACTGGCACCCTTTTATACTTCTCAAATTTGATATCCAAATGTCTATGGTGACAAACGTTAACTTCTAGACATGAGCTATGAAATACCTGAGGGTCTTAAGGTCTGAGTGAATCACCCTGTGCTTATTTCTGTATTGAAATGAATTGTAGCAGGAGTGAAAGAACACATCCAAGAAAGCTGCAGTAGAAACATTTCTGACTTACTAAAAGTAAAGACTTCGCTGTACAGTTCACGTGCTTACCTAGCTGCTCTGCCTCTCCCTTGAACATGTTTTTTTCTGTACCCTCTGTATCATGCAGACCATAGCTAGCTTGGCCACCAGATAGTAGAGTTATGTTAAAAAATATGTGTAGAGGAGACCAAGCTTTCACAGGATGACTGTCTAGACAACATTACATCTTCCCAAAAGTGAACTGGAAAACCAAATGCAGAACAAATTTCCACATTTTAGACATTTTTGCAGAAATGTCAAACCAAACGTATTCATGACTGCTCTAACATATACCCCCAACTCTCCCAGACTACACTCATTCACTCACTCACTCACATTTGCAAGCTGAACACTATAACCACTGTAAAACAAACAAAGCTATTTTTCTTGTTAGATGGTAAGACAGGAAGAGTCAGAGAGCATGCAATTGTTATTCCTGTTTGTAAACATTTAAGGGGAACTGAGGTGCCCTGCTAGTGCTGGTTATGTACTGGAATAAGCAAAATTCTTGTCTTATTTAAGACAATGTAAATCTGGAATAACCTTCTTTAGATTAGCGCAATTACTACTGCACAAATAACTGGGTTGAGACTCTGTCTAACAACTGAAAGGGAACCATGTGCCTCTGTAACTTCCACCAAGCAGAATACAGTTACTTAAATTCCTCCATCAGCCTGACTGACACGATTACTAGTTTACTAGGAAAAGCCAAATGGATTTACAATAACATATAGCTCTCTGAAGAAAATTACAGTTTATATTCAGAAGTCATAATCAGGAGTTAAAATACCATGGTAGAAACCATCTTCATGGAAAAACAAAGAAGAAAACAAAGGAGTCTTCTTTACATAAGCAAGGTTTCTTTCTGAATCTCCTGCCTACCTAGCAAACATACTAAAGTCTTCGTCTGAGGACCTCATTTATTAACCCTTGGATGACTGAAAAAAAGAAATACTGTATGCAGCATGTGACAAGGACAAGTGCCCTGCTCTGGGTTTGCTGTGTGACTCATACAATGGAGGCCAACCCTGGGTTTGTACTTTTTGTGTCACTGCAAAACAAGTAAGAATGACAATACTCAATGAATTGCTGGGACATACGCAGCTGTAATTGAACAAAACAATATCTTTGCATCCCTCAGTTGATTGTTCTAATCTCAGCTCTCCTATAATACAGAGAGAGATGACTTGGATTTAAGATATTCTAGTGATCTAAGCTTTTAAGGCCAGTATTTAGAAGAAAAGAGTTCCAAACAATGTAGAACTTTGGTGGTGATAACGGGATTGTCAAGAAAATAGTTAATAAAAAACAAAGATGTGAAGAATCTTTTCAGTGACAGAATGGTTCCCATAAACACTGACGGCTGCTGACTTGTATAAACTAAGCATGTGGGGCCAAATACTGCGAAGTGCTGTGACTACAGGCAAGATTAAAGCTGTCCACCATCAATAGGCAACCGGAAGGATAACAGCTGACAGAATCATGGTCCAAACTCAAATGAGTGAATTCTTGCCCCCACAGTGCAACACGCCAGTCTGACACAGATGAATCCACTTGTAGTTTGGAATATTTTGCACTTAGGCAGATGAAAGTGACCTGATAAAGGGTCACTTTATATGAAAATTATATCTAATATGTGCAAATTATTCACAGTACATTTTCTCATCTGAAGATACAGTGGATGGATGCAGTATCAGTAGTAACACAAGAGCAAGTTCCTGCCCCACTATTCTCTGCACTGGCTTGTGGAGTATGGAAGCTTGTGGGTGATGAAGCCAGGAGAAAGTTATCTACAGGAGCAAGGACTGCTCTGGGAAGTGGGTGAACCTTGTCTTGACATGCTGTTTAAACAGATGTCCTCAGACATGTGCCTGTTTCCTCATAAAGTGCTTGGTAGGGTTTCTCTACCTTAGGAAAGGTCATGAACATGTTCAGTCATCAAAATTGAATGCAGAGATATTTTCCTTCCATGTTTTATAGGCACTGCAAAATTGCATTTCTCAAACTAGATCTTCGCTCTCCCCTCTTCACTGAACTCTGTCGTGTCTCTAACTGGACTAGACATAATATCTTGGCTTGTAAAACTCTTGGCCTGCTGCAGATCACATTAAACTGAGTTATGGAATGTATTTTGGAGGCAGTGACAATAAAAATAAGACTTTCAAATGACCTTTTAGGTTCTTTAAGCAATTTTTAAAACATTTGCTAAAGAAACATAACATAGAGAGAAAATAACTTTTACTCTTGTCACAAGCAAGGCCTGCTGAGATCCCATAACCAAGAAACTAAATGTTGTTTTTCTGGGGTCAGAGGGTATGATATTCTCTGTTAATCAGGAAATCTAGAATTTTATTTGATATCCTGGCAGAATGCAGTGTGCTTATGATGAACTCGATGAATTTGACTCTGCCTGTTGGCTCAAAATCCACACAGATACATAGCCCTCACAGTAGACTGGGAATGTTTTAAAAAAAGAGTAATTCCCTAAGTGTAGCTTTGTCAGAGAATATAATTATCTAGAGGTTGGTTGTTTTTTAAAGAGCAAATTAGCACTCCTAATTTCCCCTTCTCCTACTTTTTTGTTTGTTTGTTTGGTGTTTTTTTTTTTTTTTTTTTTTTTTTGTTTTGTTTTAATATGCAACAAACGGTAAAGATCAGTCTGGCTGGCAGCATTTATTCTTGCATTTGCAATGGCTTTTGGCATGTGTGTCTACACCTGTATGGATGAGTCACTTGAAATGCAGAACAGATATGACCATTCTTCTGCTCAAGAAGTCCCAGAATTAGTGTAATTCCTACTACAAAAAGATGTGGCAGCCACAGAACTTTCTTTTGGTCCCAGCTGCAAAGGTAATGCAGTTGCTGATTTGGAACAAAGAAATTCTAGGTGGCTTTAAATTACAGAGTGAGGACAGCAGGAAGGGCAGATTATAAGAGGCAATGCAGACCAGCTCCGTCATCTCATTTCATGTCATGTATCTTAGTTCTATTTTCTGTTACCTATCCACACCCAGCTTGCACACTCAGTCTATTTTCTCATATATTTACATTTAACATTGACTTTACTCCAATGAATTCAGCAATGGCAATTTGCAACTCAAAAGTTCAATCCAGACAGTCTTGCTCATATTCTCTTATTTTAATAGTTTTCTGA